CAAACCAGTCGAGCTCCAAAATAAACATCCCTCTGTCATCGTCTTCTATGAACTGAATGGAAACGCCAGAGGGCAAGGCCCATGCGCCATAAAATGTTTTGAATATTGTTTAAATACAAACGCTCGGTTTACTTTGGCAACTCAAAGTGGCTTGGAGAGTCTCCTTAAGTCTGTGTAAACGTAGCCAGAGTGCTGTGGCTTATTTAATTCCATTTGGGCTGAAGTAGTCAGAGTTTTGCTTCACTTTGCACAAGTGAAGTTGACTTATGATCACATAATACCTTAATTGCCGTAGGCAATACCGCATCTGGCAATTAACGCAGCCTGTAGAGCCATTTTAATTGTTTTGCAGCTGCATCAAAATTAACTTTGTTTTTGCTTTCCAGGCAACTGTGCCGTGTAAGTGCACAGTTATTCAATAATTATAAGCCACTTGATTCGCAGCGAGACCTGAACATCATGGCTAGCACCCTTGAGGCTAGAATGCAATGCGCAAAATATCATTAAATATTGGCAGCAACTCATTCGACCAATAGTGCTGGCCAATTGTGTATAACCAGTCAACAGCAGCAACAGCAGCAGCAGCAGCAACAGCAGCAACAGCAGCAGCAGCTGCAATGGCAGCAATTGTTGTTGCTGTTTCTCGTTTTGTTTGTTTGCTTTTTCGCTGGTCCTTGCAATGGTCCCATAGCCCGAGTTCATAAATATTAACAGCTATTAAAACACTGAAACTGGAGCAGGCTGAAAATTAATTTTAAAGTTTTAAACCGACTGCCGCGCAGTTTACGCGCAATTTAGCCAACAATGTGAAAACACGGTCGGGAGTCATGTGCAAAGGGGCGCTTAAACCAACACACACATACATACATACATGCACATGCTGGCACATACGCGTGTGTGTGTGTGTACGTGTGCCTAAAAGCTTTCAATGGCAATGGGCAGCCTCAATCTAATGGCTCATTTAATTAAAAACGGAAATTGAGCAAGTGACCAAGAACGAGCCGAGTGGCCAAGCGGCCAAGCGGCCAAGTGGCCAGCAGAAACTTTTTACCAACTCCTAGGAAATATTAAAAACGGAAAACACTTTCAAGCAACTAATTCTCTGGCAGTGGCTGGCTTGCTTTTTGCTCTTCTAGTCTGCTGCTCTGCTGCTCTTC